GAAATTAAGTCCTGCTTCCTTCATTAAATATTTCTCAACCACCAATGATCAAAGTATTCTATTGATATTCAGCACTTTGATCATTTACATCTTCTCTTGAAACTCAGTAAATGTTTGATTAATTGCACTGAAAGTGTCTTGACAATATGGTTGGAAAGATTTATGAGGATGTCAGAGAGCCTAGAAAAGAAGCTCAAGATATAGAAGCATGTTAACATTCAAAAGGTAAATAGGAAGGGAAAATTAAAAGGGAAGTTGGGATTAATGCAAGAGTTAGAAAGAGTAAGACTTAAGTTATCAACTATATGACAAATAACAGAGAAATATCATAGTGGTGAGCTTTATTTCACTCTAAGCTTGAATGCCGAGGTCAGCAAACAACACGAGGACACAGAATGGCTGCAGCTTCCCTTTGTGACTGTCTGACTGCAGTATAACTATGCCATCTACAGCTGTTCTCCCACTACAGCAGCAGGGTTAATGACGTGTAGAAAAGACCACTATGCACGCCTGGTCTAATCTCTAAATCAGCAAGTCATCATAGTCAAAGCTGGCAGTGAGCTCAGGAAGGTCTGAAGTTGCACTAGCTTCTTTATCTTCTACTAAACAGCTCACTTTTTTTCCCACTAAAAACTTATAACTGAGAAAACTAATTACATAATTCTTAATATATACTGCATAAAAGATACATATATTCATATTAATCATGCATTAGGGTCTTTCAGAAAATAAATTTCTAAAAATTTTAAAAAGAATAGTAAGAGGATGCCAAGCACAACAAATACTAATCAAATTACCATTTGAAATATGTCATTATTAAATATGCCATTTTTATTGCATCTAATTATTGTACTGGGGTCATACATAACATGGTAGGCATGTGAAGGTCAGAGGACAACTTTCAGGAGTGGGTTCTCTTCTTCCACCGTGTGAGATCTGGGAATTGAACTCAGGTTGTCAGGTTCAGGTACAAGGGCCTTTGCCCACTGAGAATCTTACATCTGAACATTCAAATGGATACCATACCCTTCAAAGTTCATTTCTGACATGCTGATAAACCATTTATTAGTATTTTTTCTGACTATATTTCTCAGAACAATCTAAAACAAAAATGTCCCTGTGCTCTTTAAGCACACAGAAGGTAGGACACGAAGAAGCAGAACTGACTCTAAATTGACCTTACGTCAATTCGATTTCACCAGGCTTCCCATTTCTCAAGTATTAAATAGAGCTTCTACTTTTCTTTCAACACAAACTCTTGCTATGTAACTGTGGTTGCCTGGAACTCTCTAAGTAGACCTGGCTGGCCTTGAACTTGTGAGCAATCTTCCTGCCTCTTCCTGAAGAGTGTAGAATTACAGACATAGGAATAATTATTTTATGAAAAAGATAAAGCATTAAAATATGGTTAAGTCTGGGCTGGGAAGATAGCTCAGTCAGTAAAGTACCCGCCAGGGAACCCATGAAAAGGCCTGGGGCAGACAGCCTAGTTGAATAAACGAGTTCTAGGGTTATAGTGAGAGACCTTGCCATCAAGGAGAGATGCCAATTTGACCTCAGCTTTTCACACACGCTCACACCCATGTGCACAAACACAATACACACACATGCACACACACGCATGCACGTACACACACACACATGCACACAGAGTAAATCTAAGTGACAACAGGTAGTTTCTGGAACCGTTTTCATTATTGGATGCTATTGGCTGAATTCTATTTCTTCAAAATCTGTATTTTGAAGCTCTAACATAGGACATGATGGTATCTGGTGATGAGATCTTTGGATATTAGGATCTGATGGGATCATCAGAGTGGCCTTATGATGGGATCAATACCATTATAAAGAGTGATACCTGCACTTCGTTCCTCTGTCTCTACCATATGAGTGCCCATCAAGAAGGCAGCACATATAAGCTAGGAAGGGTTTTTGTAGTGAACCAAGCTCTCAGGCATTCGTGATCTTGGATCTCCCAGCTTCCAGACTACAAGAAGCAATTCCCCGTGCCACCTCCCCCTCTCTTGCATGCGTACATGTGCATGCGTGCATGTATGTATGTGTGTGTGTGTTACATGTAGGTATGTGCCTAAATGCACACATGTAGAGGCCACAGCTGGATAATATTAAGTGTCTTCCTCTATGTTCTTTTCTTTATTGTCTTGAGACAGGGTCTTTCATGAACTGGGAACTTGACCTTTTGTCAGGCTGGCTGGTCAGCAAGCTCCTAGGATCTCCAGTGTTGACCACCACAATGATGAGGTTACAGGCACATGCAGCCATGCCTAAATTTTTACATGGGTGCTGGGAATTCGAATTCAGGTCCTCATGCTTACAGAGTAGCAAGTGCTCTTACTCAACTGAGTCATTACCCCAGCCCAGAGAAATGAATTCTTGATGTTTAAGTCATAAGTTTATGGTGTTTTGAATGACAGCCTGGTTCAGTTAATACTCTGGCAATATATATGTTCCTCCTGAAAATCTGACTCAGGAATAAAGCACATTCACTGAAAAATCAATAGCGTGCATAATAAAGTGCATCCACCAAAGCAAAATGTGTTAGATTCTTTTATTGATGAAAAATACTTTAACTAGGGATGAATTGTGACATATTAAGCCAACCAAACTATCCTGATAAGGTGAATGATCACTGAATAAACAAGGATATATTTATATAACGTAGTACTATAAAACCATCAAAAACACTTCTGAAAAAAGTTTATGTCTACAAAAGCTTTGTCTCCCAACAAAGAAAAGTCAAGTTATATATGGATTCGCTGCCGAATTCAGCAGGCCTTTAAAGACAA